GCTTTCCCATTCCCAGGATCTTCAGGCGTGCCCTGGGTGGGAAGCAGGGATTTGGGGTCCTCCCCCTTTGACCCTCAGCATCCTCAGGGTGCCCTGGCAATGGGATCACCCTCTAATGATGCTCTGCAGCCCCGGTATCCCATTGATGGGGAGCAGGACAATGGGATTTCCCTTCTAATCACGCTCTACAAATGCCAACATCCTCAGCTGCCCTGGATGAGTAGCAAGGCAATGAGGTCACTCGTCCCAGCCCTTTTCCTCCCCGCTGGAATTCCTGGGAAGAGCTGGCACAGCCCCAAGTGCATCTCTGCTCTGAGTCACGCCAGTACCTGGGTGCTGTTTGGGTCACCCAGGTAGTGCAGGTGCTCCCGTGGCCCAGGGGTGCTACCCCCCCATTGACAGCGAGGAGCAGGAGTGTTGGACTTGCGCTGGGTTATTGCTCCAGATAGCTGTCCTGTTTGGCTGATAACAGCCTCGGAAAGTACAGGCAGTGCTGGGGCAGGAATACTGCCCATTTCTGGGGAGCTGTAAAAGGAGGATGGCTTCTGTGGTGGCACAGGTTAAATTGTTCTTTTCCTGGTTCAAGATAAGTAGTGTAAGGGTAAAAGGTGCTTGTGCTGGGGTTCGGAGAACTGAGCTGTTTATGGCCCTCAATAACCCTTTCAGAGATGCTGAAAGTCCCGGTAGGGTCATGGCTCTGCCACGGAAATCCATCCAGGCCAGCTCCATGCTCTCACCTGTACTCTGTGGGGTGAGGCAGAGGGCACGGGAAGCATGAATTGCTGGTTGTGGTCCTGGCTGTCCTTTCCCTGTGCGCTTATTTAGGAGCTGTGGCTGGTTTGTGTCCTGCTGATGTTTCACTTACATCAAGCATGGCTGAAGGGTGAGAGAGGTTCACCCTTAATGGCTCCACAACCTGCCTTGTGGCAAGGAAAGACTGAATAGCCCCTGCTACATCACTCCAGATACAGAACGGGTGTGAGAACACAAACCCTCTGCCTGCCTCAGTTTCCCCGTTGTGCTGGGAGTGCAACTTGTTCTACCCAGACCACAGAAGTGAGGCTAAACCCATTGCTGGGTGCATGCATGGGTCCATAAGTGAGCAGTAACCATGGGCTGAGTGAGACCTCCCACATTCCTGTATGTCACGGAGCAACTCACGGTGACCCACAGATACGACAGTCCCTAGGATATCTTGTGCCCTGTCTCAGTGAGCCACCTCCTCCCGCTGGCCAGCTGCCTCTCTTGGCTTCACACACAGCATTTCCTGGGTGGCTTGGGCACATGTAGGTACACTGAACAGTGCTGCAGGCAGGTAGGACCTCGGAGGTGGTGGGATGTGTCCCTGACAGTTGGCAGATGTATTATCCTTTAACACTGCTGCCAGCTGCAGAGCCCAGCCCCGCTGTTTTGACACTGACTCAGCCATGAAGACACATCTCCAAGGTGACTCTGCTTGGGAGCGAGGATTTATCGCACCAGTTTGCTTGCACTCAAGGACATGTGCTCCTTCCTGTTGTTTGGGGCCGGAGAAAGTTTCCCCAAGCAGGGCTTGCTGGTATTTTCAACCTTGTACAGTCAAATGGCATCGCCGCTGAGGTCCCAGCACGTGGCTCCACCAGTGGTGGCCTGTGCTGCTGTAATGAAGAGCACTGTGCCTTAAGGCAGGTCTTATGCTCAGTCCATCAGCCCAGGCTGGATGTTGTGTTGGATCCCGTGTTACTGCAGGCAGTCTCTTCCCACACCTCCTCACCCCTGCCTGTCCGTGCCCTCAGAGAAGGAGTCGCTGCAGTGGCTTGATCCAGCAGGAAAACCACCCATCGGGGTGAAAACCCTGATAATAATGATTCTGTTGGATCAACCAGACAGGCAGCTGCCAGCTCCCTACCTTGGGGAAAGGAATGAGGCTTGGGGACGCCTGGAACGGGAAGGACATCCCTCTCAAAGCCAGCCTGCAGCTATGCTAGATTAAAGGCAGTGTCAACCCATCCATCCCCAGATGTGCCATGGGGCTCTGTGTGTGTGCCTGTACTTTTCCATTGCCATCCTGCCCGTGAATGCCTGCATAATGGGGCCACATTCTAGTACCAGCTGCAGTTTTATTTAGAAGGGAGTAATGAATAGTTTGTTCCAACAGGCCTTTTGAAAGAAGCGGCCACCATCTGGTTAAAAGTTTTGCTCTAAACCATGGCACGATTCCCCAAAGTTTATAATCGAGCTCCTCTCTACCCTGGTCATGCCAAGCAGCTTTATTTTTAGATCTGGCTATAGAACAGGCTCCGAGTTGTCAAAGACCATTAGAATCCCTCTCTCCTTATTAACAGGCGCCCTGGAAGTGAGGACTTGCTTTTGCCTGGAATTGGGGAAACTTCTCGCTGGTGCTAACAAAGCTGAGGCAGATACTAATGAGGGTTTGAGGGCAGACACTGCCTCAGACAACACTGATGCTTGAAAAGCACAGAGCTGGCTGCAGAACCACTTGTGCTGCTCTTAAAGGACAGAAAAAATAAGCTGTCGCTTCTCTTTTATTAGGTATACATCCCCAGAGAGTCGTTTGAAAGCTCCAAAGTGCCATTTTCTCTGCCATTGGATACTCTCTGATACTTTGGGGAACAGTTTCTGTTTTCTGCTGTCAAGCTGTTTGGCTGCATTGAATTTTTTCTGTTGTATTACAGCAGCAACAGGTCATGGGTGAGACAGAGAGCTTTTTTCCCAGGTGCCTACACACCACACACGTATGTAATCTTACCTTCCCCCCCAAGGCATACGGGAGTTCAGACAGAGGGGGAATTCAGCCTGCTCCTTGGTAATGTTTTAAAGCTGCAGACCAGCTCCTGGCCTCATTGGTGGGTCCTGAGGTAGCTGGAAATCAGCGGGAAACCAGCTTGCTCCAGAGGCTACTGTATATCTATCTGTGTCCATTTTATTGGGGTAGGTGAATTAGGTGTGTGTAGCTAGATACCAAGAGCAAAAGTCGCCCAGTGAGTTCCAGTTTAAGCCCTGGTTGTACTGGAAATGATAGTCACCCCCATGGGCTGAAGGGGTGTTTCCAACAGGAGAATTCAATGGTGTCTTGCTTTTCTCTCCTCTGCAGCATGGACAAGGACAGCCAGGATGTTCACCAGGTGCTGAATGAGCTCAAGACCAAGTTCCAGGAGATGAGGAAGCTGATCAGCTCCATGCCCGGCATCAGTGTGAGCCCTGAGCAGCAGCAGCAGCAGCTGCAGAACCTGCGCGAGCAGGTCCGGACCAAAAACGAACTGCTGCAGAAGTACAAGAGCCTCTGCATGTTTGAAATCCCCAAGGAGTAGGAAGGGTGCAGCTCTACTGTCAGGTCTGAGACGCCTCTATCCAGGCTGAACAGGAGAAATAAAGGTGGCAGAAGTTTACTTCTCTTTCTTTTATGCTTTCTTTTGGTGGCGTTGCTCTAAAGTTGTGCCTGTGTGGATCAAAGGCGTGTGGCACTGAACCAGAACACTGTGCTTCATGTGTGAGGATTACAGTGCTCTGTTCACTTTGATCTGCTGTAGGACTGTGGGTTCATACATCTGCTGTTTTCTCTCTGGGTGGGGGAGGTTTGTTTTCTTTACAGTAAAGCAAGCTTGAGACGTGATGTTTTCTCCTTACTATGGGTCAAAATACCTGCTGGTTGCCCTCAGCAAGAAAAAGGAGCATTTTCTGCTTTGGGTTTTTTTTTACACTTAAAAATGGCCAAACATCAGGAGGGAAAGTAAGAGGGAAGCATGAGCCATTTGGCCCTGCTGCTGGAAAGGGTCTCTTGGAACACTTTCCAGTCTGTGTGTTGAAAGAGGAACGATTGCTTTCAATTGCTTCTGTATTTGTCTCTTTTTAAACAAGTGGTGGTTGTGTCTGGGATGAGGCAAGTAGAGATTTAGAAATGCCAGACTGCCTCTCTTGTGTATTCACTGAGTGGATGTAGACTGGGCAGGGGCAGGACTTTGGCAGCACAGAGGACATGCGTAACCTCGGCCCAGCTCCTGGGTCTTTTCCTCTTTGAGGAAGGACAGGCAGAATCAAAACAGAGGCAGGAGTGATAAGAGCTTTCAGTTATGCCACCAGTGACAGAAGTCAGGCTCAACAGGACGGGTCAGTTCCACATCCAAAGTGCTCCAGGGGCTTCCCACTAACACAAGCATTTGGGCAGCTTGAACAGTTGCCAGGGGCTGATGGAAAGCTCGAGTGTTGTATCGCCTTCAGATGGGTAGTGGGGCTCCCTGCCTCTGTCCTGCTGCTGTTGGCTCTCACAGTGGCAGAGGACAAGCTGGTAAGCAGCACCATGTCTTGTTGAGTATAGAAGATGTGATGAGACCTCGATTGTGATGGTTCTCTTGAATTACATTGAAAGGTGGTGCAAGTTGGTAGTGGAAGAGGTGAAAAACCAGCTGGAGAAATAGAGTATCTATCTGTTGAGAACCAGCATCAGAGGGTGGGTAACACTCATGCCTTCAAAGGCAGAGAAACCAGGTGTGTTTGTGTAGGGTTTTCCTTTCCTAACACAAAACACAAGTAATTCTGCTTGCTGCGAGCTCGAATGGTTGCAACTCACCTGGAACCTAGAGATTATTCTGTCCCCACTCTACTAGTACGTACTTTGGGCAGGTGCCAGTGTGTAAACTCGGAGTAAAGCAGAACACCAAGATAAACAAAGCACAATGTACACTCTTTTTATTACTGGAATTACCTTTCTGTCAACCATTGCCTGTCCCAGCTCAATAAATGCTCATGTCTGGATGGGGGGTTGCCTTTTTTTGCCAGTTGCTGTTCCTGTGGAATCAGGGCATATGCAGAGCTGGAAGAAACAATGTGCTTCCAAAGAACTGTCTGGCACTTAGCACAGGAACAAGTTAACTCTGTCAACTTGAATCCAAGTTTCAACCGAAACTGAGGCGGTTTGGTTTGCATCTCACTCGCCCACCTTCATTTTATGGCTTTGCTAGAATCTCTTTGCCATTAATATGTATTTGTTCTGCTGCTTGAAGGGGCTGGAAATGAGCTGCAGCAGAAGCTGGAGCCAGGAAGAGCTTTCCCCTTTCCCTCTGGCAGTGCTCACTAACTCATTCTTAAGAAGACATTAAACCCCATCAAATGCAAAGGTGACCTTTTGAGCAATAGGACTTACTTTACTCATATTGCAAAATGAAAACAATACCCCAACCAGGGTGCAAGTGACTCACTCTCTGTTGACATCATTAACGGGTGCTTAGTTAATGGGGGGGAAAAGCATGAGACACAAGCAGCTCTTTACAACGACGTGATGTCAGGCTGCTGGGTTGCTGCAGTGAATGACATGCCAATGCCCTGCATTTGGCATTAGTGGGGTGAGGAAAGAGTCTTGGCTCAGAGTCACATTTGGGTAACTAACTCTTCGTGGTGGCCTCTTGTTACCCCGACTGCTTGCAGAGACAGAAACCTTTGCACTGGGAGAAAAGGGGGTGATAAAGGGGTTGAATCGAGAGGGTTTTAGCAGCTTGGAGCCGGGTTTGGGGCTTTGTTGAGCAGGATTTGGATCGAAAAGAGAAGACAAAGGCACAAGTTTCATTTGAAAAAAGATTTTATTAATTTGTAGAAAAAATAAAACATCCACTTTCACCCACAGTAGAAACACTTGAAGATATTTTTGTTCATGTCAATGACAAACAATACCTACATAAAGTGCCTATTAGCTTCTTACTTAAAAAACCCCATCCCTCTCCCTCCCACCCTTCCCAAAAATCTTGCAAATCAGACAAGACCAATGTAAACAAGAGTCAGTGTTTTGGTCCACTGGGACCGTAACTCTGCAGTGTCTTTGCAACAGCTTAGGAGTGTCTTTTGCACGTGTTCCATAGACACAGACCAACACAGGACACAGAGCCAGAGTCCGTGCACAGCTTCTCAAGTTAAGAAAACAAAACAAGCCAACAGAAAACCAAGCCCGAACCCCCAAGCAGGCACTGGCAGGTTTCTGCCCTCCCTCCTGAAGGCTGGGTGGTTTGTGAGGGGAGGAAACACTGAAGTCCATGCCCTCCACACTAATCCTCCCATCTGGCTGCCCAGCAGCTCACCCTTTCCCCCATCTCTCTGCCTGGAGGAGGCTGGGTCCCAACGAGCCCCTCATCCTGCCTTCTAAAGCCTCCCCCTTTGCATCCCTTACTCCCAACATTCCCTCCCAAGGGAAGGGAGATGGTGAAAGCAATGCCTTGGGAGAAGGGAAGCTGGGGAAGAGGTGAACCCCTCTCTGCCTGGGTGGGTGCCTGCCCAAAGTCAGTTTGGAAACAAGCATCTTTCCCCCTTCCAGTCTCTCCTTCCTTCCTTCCCATGGTGAGGAAAGCTTCTAGCTGATCACGCAGCGATCCTTCTCCTTGCTGTGCCCACCACCGATGGCCTTCTCCCTGATGTACATGAGGTCGCTGTGGACACTGGGGCGCCGGGCGAAGGGGGCCACGATGCCGAACGCCTCCTCCGTGCTGCCCCGGCCCCCCTCCTTCAGCAGCTTCTTGCCTTTCAGCGCCTTCTTATGCAGGATGTCGCAGTATTGGACCGAGACCTTGCGGTGCAGGTCGGGGCTCATCTCGCTGGGCAGCTTGGCCATGGCAAAGAGAGCCTGGAACATCTGGTCGAGGCTGCTGTTCTTCTTGGCCGAGATCTCGAAGTAGGCGCATTTTTTGGGGTCCCCTCCTACCAGCTGCTCGATCTCCCGGGGTTGCACCTCCCGGTAGAAGTCACGGTCGCCTTTGTTGCCGCAGATGACCAGGGGCACCTCGATGTTCTCCTTGGTTTTGTTCTTCAGGCATGACTTGGTCTCTAGGATTTGCTGCTTCAGGCGCTGCACCTCCTCAAAGGAGTCTCGGTTGTCCAAGCTGAACACAAGGATGAACACATCTCCTAGGGGTAAAGAGGGAACGTGAGATGGTTGCAGGGATGGGGGCACACAGAGACCCACTGGGAAGGGAAGGAGGGAAGGACCAGGCAGCACATGGGTCCTGCATCCTCTCATCCACCCCATGCAGGGACCAAAGTTGCCCACACCACACAAAATCCCACTTCCCTCCACCCAGGACTGGAGAAACATCCCCAAACTGGGCAAAGAACACCTGAAATCTACCAAGGGGACCCCCCTTTCCTCCTGGTGCTCCTCAGCCAAGTACCTGTGAGGATGGAGAGGCGGCGCATGGCAGGGAAGGGGTGGTTGCCCGACGTGTCCAGGATGTCGAGCTGATAGACCTCCCCGCGGATGCTGTAGAACTTGCGGTGGAAGTCCTCGATGGTGGGTGTGTATTGCTCCTCGAAGCGGCCGGTGAGGAAGCGGGAGACGATGGCAGTCTTGCCCACCTTGGAGGAGCCCAGGATGACCATGCGGTAGCAGTTCTTGGCGGGGATGCTCAGCTCGGCCTCGCTGGGACACATCTTCTTGATCATCGCTGCCAGTTTCATTGAAGCCGGAGAAAGTGCAGCTTCAGCCGAGATGGAAGGAGAAGGATGAGGAGGAGGAAGGCGATGTGTGCCCGGCTGCTCAGCCCCCTCCCCTCGCAGGAAAGGCCACTGTGAGCTCTGCACGGCCGCTGCCGCGTTATATGGAGGAGGCAGAGACCGCCCCTCGGCGCGTCACGG